ATTTTTATCTTTAGAAAAATTTCCAAGGGAAATTTCATTATTCAATAAAACTTAGTAAATATAAAATATAAAATAGCTACTTTGTCTAAGTAGCTATAAAAAACAGAATAAAATAAATGCAAATTCTTATCCCAAAATAAACATTTTGATAGTTGTATACTGCTTCAAAATATTTCAAATCAAATTCTTTATCAGCAAAAAGGATCCTGAATACAGAAAAATTTTTAGTCCAAGTAACATTAATAACCCTTGAATGGGGAAATAAAGTATAGCTAGAAGTTGTCCATTAACAAAACCACTTATTTAATATCATCAAATCTCTGAAATTAATCTCCCCAAAAAGCTATAGTTAAAAACATAATAAACTCTTCAATATAAAATGGGGAAAATATTTTTAAATATTTAAATGTACTTTGTCTGATTTAATTTAATTGTTATATTTATGTAAATAAACATCTAAAATATACAAAAGCATTACAAATAAGTATAAGCTGTTAAGTTTATGGCATTAAAACTTTTACTTCAAGGGTAAACCTACCTCAGTACTCTTTTCTACTTGTCTGAACTTTTCACTGGATTCTTCCTTATCCCTGAGAAACTGATTGTATTCTTTGTTACGTTCGAGTTTCAATCTTTCCTTAAAATAGAAAGCAAAAGGCAGTATTACTTTCAATTTACATTAAAAGAGCATTATAGTCAAATCAGAATGTGAAATAAAACTCACACAGTTCAGAGACCCTACCTAGTTATCAAGCTTTACTGTAATCTCATGGACAAAATAAGGCACAGGAAAGGCAGAAAGAGGTCTGAGAGCACCAATGCAGATAGATGCTCAGGTCCTTTCTTGCCATATTAGAACACAGTCGTACAGTACAACACACTTTGGTCCAGATTAACACTTGAGGTCTCTAAGAGAAGGGAGCTACTTTGGTTGTGCAATGTCTCCATTTATACTCCGAGAGCTAGACGGTATGTTCCTAGAAGCCACGACTTAAAGGAGCCCTAGTGGTGTGGTGGGTTAAGCGTTGGACTGCTAACTGCAAGGATGGCAGTTCAAATCCACCAGCCACTCCAAGTGAGGAAAATAAGGCTATCTGCACTCATAAAGGTTTACAGTCTCAGAAACACTATGGAGCAGTTATACCCTGTCCTCATAGGAGCACCGTGTGATATAATCGACTCAGTGGCAACAGGAATGCCACATAAGTGCATGGATTTTAGATTTGTTTACCATAAATAATCTTAGATCAACCAAGGATATCATCCTGCAAATAGTATTCCATAGAGAGATATCTCCTACTAGCAAATACAATGAATGAATATGTTTGCAAGGCGGCTTGTCATAAGCATGTCTATTTACTAGGAAATTTAACCCTATGGCTTTCTTTCTTCCTTAGAGGCAAAGCCTGGCCTCAATTTCCCACCCTGTTACTGAAAAGGCAAAAACAGATTTCAGGCTTGCTGCTTATCATGTCCTTCTCAATGTTAAAAAAAGTCTTCTCTTTAGAGTTTAAAGCAGGAAAGGGGTAAATTATCAGACACTAAAACAGTATGATGGAAATGTTCTACTGAAATAAGAAGTTCAAAAGAACACAATCTAAAAAAGTATCAAACAATTTTGTCTTTTGAAACGTATTAACCATCTTACATACTACTTTATAATCTCTTATTTTTCTTGGCATTGGATCACTACAAGAGGTACACAGTGCTTTACTGCAACCACCTCCAGAGGGCATGTTACATGTAGTGTGGATGGATAGAAACACATACTCCAAAATCCCACCCTCACCCTCCATTAAAAACTCAGTATACGTTCACATCTACCCAGCTCACTGATCACTGTGTCACAGCATCAATGTCATTGCTCAGAAACCAATGCTGAAAGACAGCTCATTCTGAATACTCAGTAAAGCACAGCAGGAGACAGTGAAGGAGTCAACTTACTAAATACATTTATCATATGGCCTGGTTACAAATGTAATGTTCAATTACTTTTTTTAAAAGTACAACTAGAAGCCACAGAAATTTTTTTTAAAGACATATACACAAGTATAAGGAAATGAAGTTATCTTCTGCTTATATTTTAATCAGAAGTAGCTTCCCTTATGAGCTGGATGCCGCAGAAAACTGCCACCCACATAACTCCTATCCACCTACCTTGGCAGATAACCTCTCACCAATAGGAAGAGAAACTCCCAGAGTAGATGGATCTGTTTCACCCGTAGACAGAATATTTTTCTGTATATGTACACATTAAAAAGAAGGTATTACCTAATTGCCTTCATAAAATGTATTTCATAAACGTGTCTCTTTACATTACATATTCTAAATTACTACCTTATGCAGAGCAAAAGAGTGGGGTGGAGATGAAGACAGAAACCACTAACCCATAGAGACCACACCAAAAGTGATTAGGAAAAAAAGGAGAGCTTTGAACCAGTTCTTCCCAGTTCAGTCATGACCAAGAAAGCAAAACTGGAATGGAACCAAATTTGTAAAACATGAGTGCATCGGAAAGCTATCCAGAACTAGAAAAAGTAGAGGTCATCAACCTGCTAGAAACTGGATTTCCCTCCTTAAAAAACAAGGGCAGCCTGTGTGTTGCATAGCAACCGAATCCCCTGACTGGAGGAGCTGGAAGTAATGGTGGCACACTAAAAGAGAGCAGCTAATTGTGCTGCCTGGAAAGTGCGCTGCTCGCCACGCTCCTGGCAGAATCCACTCTCCCACTTCAGGCTCCTGAAAGGGCTCACTAGGCTCCTCTGAGTCTCCCATTCCCGAGTTTCAACCCATACTTTTTCCTAGTCTAGGTATAGCACCTCTTTACCTGAATCTTTAAAATCCAAGTCTGTTCTAATTTCACTTCTCAGCCATGACTGAACTAGTTCCAATCAGTTCAAGACCCTGCAAATAAACTATTGTATTCCAATCAACAATGCCCCAAAGGGAAGAACCACGCCTTCAATTTCATTGGCAATACATCAATATCTATTGGTTCGAGATGATCAAATGCATGGGTTTAAAAAAAATTTGTTTCTTAACTTACATTCCTCTTCTAAGTGCATATATATCTATTTCATTATGAGTGCCCTTATACCATTCTTTTCTTCTTAACACAAAAAACTTTCTTACAAATAATCTTTTGTATGCTACAATATTTTTTCCTTTTTTCTGCAACTATGAGTAGATATATACTCAAATGCCAAAAGATCTAAAACTGTGAATGTTTATCTCTACATATCTCTCCATCCTTGTTCATTAGATATTTAAGTACATAGTACAGTAGGCACAGCATTAATATAGAAGTCAAAAAGGAAACTCATCATTTGTATAAACCATTTAAATTCTCTAATACAACTTTCTCTGGCCCACCTATCAAACCTGTAAGAAGGGTCAAGAAGGATAGGAAACAAAATCTCGTGTGAATACTACAGAGCAATGTTTCCCAAAGTGGGCAATACAACCCCATGGAGAACACTGGACGATCCAGGGAGGACTGCAACAGCAGATGCCTAGACTTTATCCTGGACTGTGGCTAAAAGCACAAAATGTTTAATTGCCAGGGGGCGCTAAGTATGTTGTTGTTGTTGTTGTTGTTTTCCTGAAAAGGGGCGGCAGGCCAAATAATTTTAGGAACCTATGCTATAGCGCTAACCTAAGCCATTAGTAAAAAAATCAAACACATACCCCAACTTTCTAGTGCTACTACAATCTAGCATAAATTATTTCACTTCTCTACCTGAGTTTCTCCATCTGACAATCAAGGGTACGCTCATCTACATTACTAGATTATTAAATGAAAATTAAATCAATCAATGTTTTGTTAAACTGTCTAGAGCTCCATCCGTGTCTCTATTTATTCATTAACAAACAAGTTAAATGCAGTCAAGTCAATGTTCAGCTCATGGAAACCACCAGACACACGTATCTGAATGTTGGGATGCACAAAGCATCACTAGCTGACTTTTCATTTGTAGAACCCTGGCCTTTGTTCCTAGTCTTAGTCTAGAAATTAAGCAACACACAAGTCAGCATGTTAGCAACACACAAGTGTCCGCTGACAGGTGGTGACGGCACTTGTGGTGCTTAGGGCAAGTGTCAAACCCCACATGGAAGGTGGGAATGTTTGCCCCAACGCACTTATTTACCATCAATATTTTCAAGGTACTCTTTTAGGTGGCAAGGAGACAAGAGATGTCCCCTATATCCAAGAGACTGACAATTCAGTTGTAGAAATAGATATGTCCTCCTAAGTACGTGAAGTACACTACAAACCTACTCATACTGCAGCACTCTAAATGTGTGGAGCTTTCCAACCCTGTGAAATCAGATACAACATCTTCACTCCTTCATTGGAAATTCTGCCACCACCAACACAAGTCCCAAGATGATATGTGAAATGTGTCATGCAGTGAAAAGATAAATAAATAACAAGGATAACATAGCGATTTTTTATAGCTGAAATTTTGCCATTCTCTCATCAATAAACATTTTTTTAGTACCTGCCATATGCCCCAATCATTCAATATACTTGGAACACATCAGTGAAGAAAACAGAGCCTCATAAAGATTTTATTCAAGCGGGGGGTGGGGGGTGGGGGCGGCTACTGGCAATAAACAATAAACATAATGAACAGGAATATAGTTTAAGAGGTAACAATGCTGTTACCAAAAAAGTTTTTAAACAAGAGCCTACAGGTAGTGCAGATTTCTAGGGGCCCGTGGGACTGAGAAGTATGAAAATCAGGAGTTCCCCCTGGACATGTCCAACGAAAGATACATATTAGATGACCAAGTGAAGGCTGAAAGCAAATGCAGACAAGCAGAAAAGCCTGAAATTCAGGAAAGAGGCCTGGGCCGGAGACATATATTTAATTATTCAATTTAAAAGCCCTTCTTATGTCTGAGACTAAGAGTCTCCTATCTTTCCTGTGTTTTACGGTGGTCACATGTCATTTACTCTTAAAAACCCAAGAGAAGACAGATGGTGTTTGTTTTAACAGTCCTTCTTGGCAAAATTAAAAGATCAGCATTTTGTAAAATTTAAATATCCACTAAATCCATACGTCTGGAAAACATAAAGCACTGCAGAAGAAACAAGGCCCGAAAACCACAAGATTCCGGAGGTCCAGGAGGCCGTTATAATCATTTCCTTACACCCTTTTCTTTTTCCTTGAGCTTTTCTTCTCTCACCTTCTCAGCAGTCAGCCTGAGATTGTCTCCTTCCCAATATACTAAAGTTTCTTTCCCTACTACTCTAAAAACAGACTTAAACAATTTTGATGAAGATTAATGCATAAGAAAAATAAGGAAGTAGGATATTTTTTTTTTTAATTTTTAAAAATTGACCAAGTTTTGAGAAGTCAGAAAAAATTTCAAGATACACATTTTCCCCATCATTCATTGTATTGTAATATCTCTGGTGTTTCTTAGTTACTTGACTGCTACTACATTCTTGATAATCCAAGACCAAAAATACTCTTTCACGTTCCCCTGAATTTTAAAAGAGGCCCTTGACCTCTTTTCTCTTTCAAGAAAGCCCTTTATCCTATGGCTCCTACCAGCATTCAGAAGGAATGAAAAGGGACTTCGAGTTACAAATACATCTAAAAGGACAGTCATTAGATCAACTAATTTTTACCAAGTGCCGACTACACTCCTGTCCAGACTAGTAAGAAGGTAAGTCAACTAAACAAATAATTTAGTAGTAGTAATGAGACCAAATGATAAGTGGTAAGCCCAGGATGCTATTAAATGAGGGAAGGTAGGGCAAGCACTTAACCTAAATTGATAGAGTCAGATTAAGAATTTCACCAGAGATGAGGACATCTAAGCTAAATTTTGTTGTAGATGTTAGGTGCTGAGTTGATTACAATAGTGACCGTATATACAACAGAACAAAATGTCACCACATCCTGCACCATCTCTACAGCTGCTGCTATGTTTGAGGCCATTGTTGCAATCCATCTAATTGAGAGTCTTCTTTTTCGTTGACCCTTTACTGCACCAAGCATGATGTCCTTCTCCAGATACTGGTCCCTCCTGATAATAAGTCCAAAGTATGTCAGACAATGACTCACAATCCTCACTTCTAAGAAGCAATCTTCTGGCCATACATGTTCTGAGAAGATCTGTTCATTCTTCTACCAGCCCATGGCACACTCGATATTCTTGAGCAACACCACAATTTAAAGGCATCAACTCTTCTTCGGTCTTCCTTTTCTATGGTCCAGCTTTCATATGAAGATAGGGCTCCTTAAAATACCAGGGCTTGGTTCAGAAACATTATTGTCCAACCGGTGGCCTTTTTTGCTTTTTAACACTTTTTTAAGGAGGTCTTTTGCAAGAGCAGGGTCTCTGGTCTAGCAAGACAGGTGGAATTCCCCAAGACTCTGAGCTTTGGTCACTCTTCAGGAAAGGAATTGAACTCTCTGCTGTGGCTCAACTTTCTGCCAAACAACAGAGAGGCCTTTCGAGTCAACAGCAGTGTCCCATCTCTTGAACAATTACCCACTAGAGATCCACATTTGGGCAGCATTTTCCCTGCAGATACAGCTCAGAAGGCAGGAAGGGCTAGGAAAGAAGGTTGCCTGGGAATGGCAAATGCAGGAAGACAGAGGGAGAGTGCTGTTAAGACTGTGAGGACCATGATCGGAGCCACAGCACAATATGTGTATGAATCACTGAATCAAAAAAGACCAGGTAGCTTTCTCAACTTTCATTCACATCACAGTAATAGTTTATTAAATTAAAAAAAGTTTTTAAAATAAATTTCAGATTATAGAGAGTGGGGTTGGCCTTTTGCAGTACATTTGCCCAGTGTCATATGTTATTTGATTTCCTGATCGCTACTTTATGAGACTTTATTGTGGATCCAAGTAAAATTAAATCTTGACAACTTTGTATTTTCTCCGTTTATCATGATGTTGCTTATTGGACCATCTGTGAAAGGTTTATTTTTTAATACTCCACAAAAGAATTCTACGGCAACTAGTCAGTCCAATAACTCAAACACGCCTCATCCACACGTGCTCAAGCCCGTCTCCAAGTCCTTCATCCGTCTAGTTCCCCATCTGAAAAGCCTCCTCACCTTGCCCCTCCCCTTAGAATATGCAAATCCTATTCCTCCAGTAATGCTTTGCAAAAAGTATTCCTCAGGATGACACCCTGCTGATCATTTGACTTTTTGTAATTATCACTTTCTAAATGGTCTGAATCTTATCTCTATATCTAGATTCTAGACCCTATAAAGTCAGATCACTATCTGATTCATACTCACAAGTATTTTAAAAGATATTGGTTAGATGATGGATGTGGGAATTTATTTTTAGACAGTTTGGTAAAACTTATAAAACTGCTTATCTTTTGTTCTCAAATATAGTTATAAATATATTACACAGGGTTAAGTGCAAAATGATCAAATAATCCAAATGCTGGCAACACACATAGAATATATTCAAGATATTCTATTATTCTACTAATTTTAATGTAATTAGCATAATTTGAAGAAAAAATAGCATGCTGAAAACAAGTAGATTTATACTACTTGCAAAATATTTAGAAAATGCATAAGAAAGCCACAAAAAAACAAATGCAAAGCAAAATCAAAAAGGATGATTTATTGTATTTAAAGAAAAAAAGCCATAATGTATGGACTATCATCTTGCTAGAAGCAAGAACAGGAAATGGTACCATCAAAAAAAATCTCAAAATCACAAATGAAACTAACTGATTTATGAGTAGCACTCTCGTAAATGCAAAAACTCACAAGCCAGTAAATCTAAAACATAACTGAAGGACAACATTTCGCAGGCAACCCTACCTTTCTTTTTGCTTGTGTGATACCCTAAATTCAAGAGGGGAAAAAAAGCAAACCATTGATACAATGTATTCAATCAAAGTGCCTTCTCCCATGTACAAATCAGAAAAAATAAGAGATCAAGTATACGTGTGTACAACCATAAAGAAGTGAAAATCTAAAGCATATCTTAGGATTGCTGGAAACATCGGGATAGCTTACAATAATTTTATAAATTAAAAATCAAATTGCATTCTTAAAGTTATAATAAATCTTTAATTTACGTATTATTTAATTAACAGCATATACTCAAAACAAGAATTCTGCTAAGAAAAAGATTAAATGATTAAGGAGATACACTTTGATAATTAAATAACTATGTTATAGACAATGAAATTTTATAAGCTTAGGTCATAGCGAAAGAATTAGCAACTACAACTCCCTGTGTCCATTTAATCCAGTTTGGGGGGTCATGGGTGGAAGAACAATGAATCATAACTGGGTTCCTTTATACCATGATAACTTTACAGAATATATGAAAAATCAGAATTTACAATATCAACTGGAATTTGAACCTACTGTCCTATTCCAAAGGTTGAGAAATCTGTGCTATTCCAAGGTATCAGTTCACAGTACCAATTATCTCTAGCAATGTCACTTACACCGTGTGAAAAATAGGTCATGCTGGGAGTAGTGATACCAGGAGGATAGGGAGAAAGGGGGGAGGGGGGGTCAACTGCGGTGATCCATGCATAATCCCCCCCCCCAAGGAGATGAACAACAGAAACATGGGTGAAGGGAGACAGTGGTCGGTGTAAGATATGGAAACAAGAATAATCTATAATTTATCAAGGGGTCAAGAGGGTGGGAGGGACAGAAGGAGGGAAAAAAGAGGAGCTGATAACCAAGGGCTCAAACAGAAAGTACACGTTTAGAAAATGATGATGGCAACATATTACAAATATGCTTGATACAATTGATGTATGGAAGGTTTTAAGATCTGTAAGAGCCCCCCAATAAAATGATTTTTTTTAATATATAGGTCATACATGTTAATTTTGACTGAAATACTCCAAGTCCAAAAGTTGTAACCCTTTGCTAAACACCACAGAAAACATGAAAATGCATATGACTAAAGCCTAGGGAAATAAATTTGGATGGTAAACTCCAGAGCACAGCAAAAACCCAACTTAGTAAGAACTCATTACCTGAGTAAGATAGCGTCTGTAATCCTGCCGCAGTTCTTCTTTTAGTTTATGTTTCTTCCGTTCATAGTCTTCCCCAAGGGGTAAGCTTAGCCCATAATCAATTCCTAAAAGAAAACAACTTTTTGAGGAATATAGTTCATTTCAACCCATCTGAACAGTCTATTTCCTGGAACAAAAGCAACTCAGCATTGTTGATTCTGAGACTCTGATTAGGATAATAATTTCTTTATTTAAAATGTCTTCCATAGATAACATAGTCACTTAGTGGATAATCTTTCAACCACGCATGGACCCTTGTCACTTACTTCTCCTCACCAGACACAATCCATCTTACCATTTCGTAAGTTTCCTTCCGATTATATTTTATGGATAGCCAGATACATAAATATATTTACTTTTCCCTCCCCTTAAGTAAATGATTCTACAATACTCTGCATCTTGCCTTTTCAAGTTAGATTTGAAAAAAATCTGAGCCACCATCTTCATTTATTTTTATTTTAAATTCTACAAAAGCAAACACCTACACAAATTTTAATGTGTTTTTCAGTCTGAGACTATTAGTTTAAGAGACCTTTTAGAATACAAGATTATCTTTGCCATAAACTGTTTCAGTACCATTGAATGGCTTGGATTGAAATTTCCAAAAATCTTTCAATTTAACTAAATTACCAATTCTCATTTCATAAAAATGCATGTTAATTTTTGGAGAACACTGATTTTAAGTAGTGTTTCCTTATATAAAGTTCAAAAGTTAAATTATATTTTGGGGTGAGGAAAAGCCTAGATTACGATGACTGTTGTAAATACAGTTTACGACCAACAACTGACATGGTCACTTTAAATGGGCCAGCTTTATAGTGTTTAAATTATATTTCAATAAAGTGGTTAAATCAAATTACATTTTTTCCAGAGTTTTAATAGTAAAATATTATGTAAAAAAAAGCACAGGAAAACTTATTTTACATTTCTGAAGCCCTTCTCCTCCCTTTGAGTAGTCCTACTGTATAATACAATAGTATAAAAAATTATCATTTCTAAATTACAATTTTTCTTCATAGAGATCCTGCTAAAAGGTCTACAATACAATAACTGACTAGTTTATGAATTTCCATGTCTCTGCTTTTGGCTTTATTCCTCACAATGCAGCTAAGTGATGGTGCTATATCATGAATGTGACAAACCATTGCTTTATTACATCGCTCAATATTTTGGGGGGAAGCCAAAGTAGTCTAAAAAAGAATGTCTACAGATTTTTCTGAAATAAAATACTCACTTCCCACCATAATAACCTAAAACCAAACCTCTTACCATCAAGTTGATTCTGACATACAGACCCTCTATAACCTTGGGTTTCCAAGGTCGTAATCGGAGTGGCAGCAGACAGCCACATCTTCCTCCCCCAGGGCCTCTGGTGGGTTCAAGCTGCCAACTCTTCAGTCAACAACCAAGTGCTTAACAACGGTGTCACCAAGAGTCACCTTCCCACCACAAGTCCAGGGACGTTCTCCTGAGAGACAAGTCTAGCCTCTTTAACTCCGCGATAATGGAAGATCTGGGAAGATTCTCTCACGCATGCTCTCATCTCTTCCACAAGAATCCAAAGCATCACATACACTTGGAATTTTAAATTCTAGAGAAAGTATTCTTTCCTCACAAAGGAACCTAAGCCTTATTTCAAAGCTACACAATTTAGGACTCCGGAGGGTTTCAATTCTCATATTCAGAATGGAGTCTCATTTATGAAACTAGGAAACCCATGAAGATCCCTTCTTTTATTTACCTAGAGAATGCCTAGCACATTATGTAGAGCTAAAAACTGTTCACAGAATCAGTGAATGATCCAATATAGATGAACGGCGCCTGAGCAAGAAGGAATGAGAGAAACTGGGAAAAGAATATACTCTGCTTGGCATTTCACTTCTAATACTGGTGTTCTGACAACATAGAGAGGAAGCACAGGAAGTAGTGACCGTCACAATGGATGCTCTACTATGACCGAGAGAAGAGAACAATGCTGTAAAGATGATGCCTCTCCAGAAGCTCTGCTTTCCCACATACGAAACCTGTAGCCAGTAGCTCTCAACAAGGAATACATTTGAGGTGGCTTTGACTACTACCCTTCAGTTCTACTTGGTGAGTTTATATGGAAAAACAGGGATGAAGTTGCAATTCATTTTCATTTATCAACTGGCTTTTCATATTAAGTTTGATTGTATTTATCAAGAACACTTGCTTTTTACTATGAAATATTTGTAGTAAAATTCCCTTTAGACAAATAGTAACATATAATGCCTTCAGAATTATTTGCAATTGGATTAAGGTTTACTTAACAGGAAACATTAAGTTTTTATGTGTATCATCTAGTACCAAAGAGATTAGAGACAGGTCACAGAAATGAAAGTAACAGCTATATGCAGCAATTTAAATATTCTATTTACTTAAAACTGTATTAACGATGGCATCTCAACTGACTCAAGAAGCTAAGCAACATGGTGAGACTTACTTATTCAGCAGCTACCTTCTGATGGTTCTAGTGTCAAGTAAAACCTTTGTGTCATTTCAGGGTCATTTAAAGTGATGTCACTTCACCAAGTACAACAAACAGTGCCCCTAAGACAGTTAACATAATGCTTCAAAACTACAACAATAAAAAATACTTGGTTTCTATAGTGGCTGTAAGTTAAATAAAATGTTGAAAATTAAAGGATTAAAAAAAATTTAATTATTTTATCTTTTAACATCACACTCATAAGGAACACTGCTTATAAAATTACTATAAAACATTTCATTTTTCTTTGCATTATTACCATGAGCCAGGCATTACGCAAAAATAATCAAATTATAAAAAATAATGTCTTTAAATATTAAAATTTATTTTTGAAAGTGATTAGTTTAATTGGAGAGAACACTATCCTCCACTTCAGCTATGTAAAGATGTTAGTACTAACGACTCGTTTGAGCTGCATAAAGTGAACAAAAGTAGAAGAATGGCTAAGAAGTAGTTTCTAATAAGATAAATATGAGACTAAAATTGCTGAAAGCATGTACATATTTTAAAATATAACTAAAAATTTAATAAAATCAATTTTTTCCATAATGTTTACAATAACTGAAATTTTTAGCTCTGCCTAAACTATAGTTTTTGTGTTATATCAAATTCTGATATAACATTTTATATCATTTTAATGATATAAATTCCTTTATATCATTTTAAATGACAACAATATAATTTTTTCTTTTTTTTAAGGAAAAAATCATTTTATTGGCATACACTTGACATATCAAACAGTTGGGGTTCCGCCCCCCGCCAACAATGTAATTTTTTCCTTTGCACTTTTTCCTCCAGCAAATTTCTGAAGTATGAAAAACAGTGAATTTTTAAAATTACACCACATAATTTCTAATAACAAGAATAACAACTCTTGATCTTACTCTCACTGCCATAGAGCTGAGTCCAACTCACAGCAGCCCTCTAGGACAAAGCAGAACTGTCCCTGTGAGTTTCCAAGACCATATCCTTTGAGGGAGTAGAAGGCCTCATTTCTCCTTCAAAGCAGCTGGTGGTTTTGAACTGATGACCTTGCAGTTAGTAGCTCAACACATAACTACTGTGCCAATTTGTAATCCTCTAGCTTACAGATTTCCAAAAGAATGGATTCAGAACATAAAAGATAAATTCAGTAAATTGAATTCAGGGCAGCTTGAAATGCTGACAACATACTATTAACTAACATTGTAATTAACATGATTAATATAAGGATGAGAGATAATAGCCAAAAACTGGTGGATAGGAACATAAAGGGGTTATAGATACTGAAGATAAATTTCTAGAACAAGCAAAGGAGCTGACAAGGAAGCAGAAATAACGATGGAGAAGTGTGGCGTGGTGGTCCGATACAATGACCCCCCAATACAGGGGTCATTCTATTCAGAACGTGAAGGGAAAAGACACGTGGGGTAAAGTCTAGCAGAAACCAAGAGCCCGCTTTCAGTCCTCCCTCGGTTGTGTCACACCAAAAATGAGGGGGAAACTGCCATCAAGCTACCCGATAGGACAGAGTAGAAGTTCCTAGTGTGTCTCGTATCCACTCATGGACTTTATTACTCCTATTGTGGGATTGTGTATTTAATAGTATTTAACCTTGTTGTCTTTAAAGTCCTCTACTCCTCCCATTGCCTTCCTTTGCCTTTATCACTGTGTGCTGACCTCTGCCTTGTACGTCATATTCCTCGTCTATCCTCTAGTTAGTGACTCAGCCTCCTTTCCCTCCCTGCCCTCCAAAAACCAAACTCACTGCCATCGAGTCAGTTCTGTAGGACGGGGCAGAGCTGGCCCATCTTTCACTTGCAGGGCAGCTTAGCAGTCTAACGTCTGTACGACTGGGGAGTGTGAGGGCTCATACTTTGTTCTTCTTTAATGCTTTCCTTATTCCTGGTCTCTTTCAGTATAAAGTTGATGATTAGTTTTCCCATCCCTTTAAAGAATGATGATGGAGTTTGCATTTTATTTGTGGATGACTTTGGGAGTATTAATATTTTCACAATGTTAAACCTTTCCATTCATGAGCATGGTATATTCTTCCATTTATGTAGATCTTTTTTGTCTTTTTTAAGCAGTTTTCTTTGTATAGGTCCTTTGTGTCTAGTTAGATTTGCTCCAAGTTGTTTAAACTTTGAGTAGTTATTATAAATGGTATTGTTTTCCTAATTTCCTTTTCAGAGTTCTCTTTATTAATGTAGAAGAATATAACTGATTTTGTATGTTGATCTTGTACCCTTCAACTTTGCTGAAATTTCTCTATTCTAGGAATTGTCTTGCTGAGTCTTTGGAATTTTCTACATATAGTATATGTATCATATACTCTTCTAATAGAGATAATTTTTACCGCTTCTTTTCCAGCTTGGGTTTCTTTTATTTTTCTTTTTTGCTATTGATCTGGGTCAGACTTCCATTCCAATAAAATACTGAATAAAAGCAGTGATAAAGGGCATCTTTATTTGGCTCCCATTTGTTTTTATTAAATACCTTTATTGGGGCTCTTACATCTCCCATCACAATCCATACATTCATTCATTGTCAAGCACATTTGTACATATGCTGCCACCATCATCATTTTCAAAGCATTTTTTTCTACTTGAGCCCTTAATATCAGCTCATTTTACCCCTCCCTTACTCTCATGAATACATGATGTCATAGATTATTATGTTCATATCTCACATCATCCTCTGTAACCCTTCACCCACTTTTCTGTTGTTGATCCCTCTGGGAGGAGGTTATATGTTAATCTTTGTGATCAATTCCCCCTTTCTCCCCAAATCTTCCCCTTATCCTCTTGGTATCTCTATTCTCATTGTTGGCCTTGATGAGTTTATCTATCCTGAATTCCGTGTTTCTGGCTCTTATCTGTAGCAGTGTGCATGTTCTGGCCTAATCCAATGTGTAAGGTAGAACTGAGGTCATGATAGTTGGGGGTAGGAAGCATTAAAGAACTAAAGGAAAGTTGTATGTTTCATCAGTGCTATACTGCACCCTGACTGACTCATCTCTTCCTGTGACTCTCCTGTGAGGGGATGTCCAATTGTCTACAGATGGGCTTTGGGTCTCCACTCCACGCCTATGACCCCCACCCACCATTCATGTTGGGTATAATTTTGTTCTGGGTCTTAGATGTCTGATACCTGATCCCATCAACACCTCATGATCATACAGGCTGGTGTGCTTCTTCCATGTGAGCTTTGTTGCTTCTCAGCTAGACAGCCGCCTGTTTATCCTTTAAGACCCCAGATGCTATATCTTTTAATAGCCAGGCACCATCAGCTTTATTCACCACATTTGCTTATGCACCCATTTTGTCTTCAATGATCATGTCAAGAAGGTGAGCATCGCAGAATTTGGCTCCTATTTGTAAGGGGAATGCTTTCAGTCTTTCTCACTTAGACTAATGTTGGCTGTTGGTTGTATGTGTGCACCAAAGTATGTTCAGGATTTTCACTCCTTTTTTAAAACAATATTTTTATCAGGAAGGGGTATTGGATTTTGTCAAATGCCCTTACTCTGATTGGTAAGATCATTTAACACTTGCCCAAGACTAGGGCAGAGGCCAAAGGGCTACAATCGCTGAGAGATCAAGAACTGTACCTGCCAAGATGGCTGAGAAGAAACACTACAGACAAAAGAGCTATATCCTTAATGTTTTCTGATCCTGACTTGAGCTAACTTGCTACTTTCTCTAATAAACCCCATAATCATGACTATTGTTTGTGAGTTCTATGTAGTCATTGCCACAAGATTATTGAACCCAGCATAGAGGTGGAGTGATGGGAGAAGAATAGTTGGTATCAGAATAAGGTAAAGACGGATGAAAAGTGGAGGCGCATCTGACCTCTGCCTTGTGGCAATTGTCCTTAAGCTCATGTAAAGTTGGATTCTCCTCCCTACTGAATCAGGAATCAGGAGAATGTCAAATGTTGCTTCCACATCATTTCTTCACATAGTTAAGTACTATTTGACACCTTCTATAACCTACGAAGTTATGGTTTTTCAATCTTCGTAATAAGCCCCTGATCACCAGCTATCAAGATTACCCCTTTACAAACAAAAAGATGCCCTCTGAAGCCAGTGTTTTGATTGCCCCCTCACCCCCAAGATCCCCTAACAAAACTGAGACAAGGGCATTACTGAAATAACTTGTCTGCAGTTGTATGCAGAAATAACTAAAGCAGATTTGGGGGTAAAAATCTGTACATATAGTAATTGAAACCCTAGTAACAATGCTTTTTTAACTTACCCTAATAATACTGGTTGCTACGACGCTACTCATTAATTCAAACAAGGGTCAAAGAGTATTAAGTCAGTAGGGTACCTAATTTACAAAACTTCTCCTTTATTAGACCAATTTGTTTTATAATTCCTAGATGAGACAATTTAAAGAAAACTCTCAGTTGTCAAATTCTTTTAGTTTCCCGGTGTCAAAACTAGGTATTTGGCCTCAGTTTAAGGGTACAATTTCTCACATAAGAGGTTAGTAACTAAATGCTAATACGATACAAGATTAAAATAAGCATATGATTAATAAGATTCAATATACAGAAAAATAATTATTGGCAATAAAAGTACCATTCTAATTATAGAAAATTTAATTCTGTAAACAAAGAGAAGTGATTTTATTTTTTGTAATGGGGACCTTTATTCATGTACATCTTTTTAAAGAGCCTAAGTAGTCAGCACTGTGTTGGATAATGGAGATACGGCAACAGGCAAGATAGCATGACATTGCTGTACAAGAACAAGTCAAACAAGCAACTGTTCTGCAAGGGAGGAACCAGTGCCAGCGCGCACATGGCACGAGTGCCCAACCAACTGCAGGAAAACCACAACATGAGAAAATCAGCATAAGAGTCTAGACTTTTATCGTATAGGAAATAAGAAGCTATTGAAGGGTATGAGGCAGAAATTGACAAGATCAGATTTCTTTTTCAGAAGGATATCAAAGGCAGGGCAAAGCATCATAGGGGCTGGGTTGTAAAATATAAAGAGCAATAAAGAGGCTGTTGCAATAATCTAAGTGAGAGAGAGATAGAAACCTGTAGAAAATAATGCCAGTGAGATTAGAGAAAAAGAGTGAAGCTATTGGAGATTCAAGCGTTAGAAGCAATTGGGCTGTGTGATTGCTTGTATGTTGGGGATGGAAGGGTTCACTCAAACATATCTAGGCAGATGGCTCACAGAGATGAGGAGCACCAGAGAGTCTGAGAGGAAGATAAAGTGTTTTGCAGCACCAAAGTTCCTATTTGTAAATATAATGATCAAAAACTGCTTTTTGATTGTTCTCAGTCAACACTCACTGCCGAGACAATGCTGACTCACAGTGACACCAGTGGGTGTCCGAGACTATAACTGTTCACAGGAGTAGAAAGCCTAGTCTTTTTCCTCAGAGTTGCTGGTGGTCTTAAACTGCCGACCATGTAGATGGCAGCCCAACCCATTGTGACCACTATGCCACCAGTTAGCAGAACTCTCAAAAGCAAAAAAAAAATTCATTTTTATAAATAAAGAAACGTGGAAAAAAAATTAAGTATGTGCCCAAGTATGTGCCCGTCATTTTTGCACATGCATTCAACTATTGCCCATAACAGTCTTTTCAGCTAGATGCCAATTCTTAAGATGAGAAGACAAAGCATTTCATAGTGATTCTGTCTGACCTCACTGCTTGACAAAAAACAAGCTCACTGCCATCAAGTCGATTCCAACTTGTAGAAATCTTACAGAGCTGAACAGAACTGTCCCCTGTCGGTTCCTTAGACTCTACCTAACTCTATACGGAAGTAGCAAGTCTTACCTTTCTCCCATGGTATGGCCGGTGGCTTCACCCTGCTGCCCTTGCAGTTGGCAGTATACCACATAACCCACTGCTTGAGAAAACCTACTATTAACCTGAACAACAGCAACAAGAATCTTTCAGCTTAAATCATCAAAACTTGCATCATACAATTTGAGGAACAGAAGAGTCTTATTTCTCTTTATTTTAGATTTAAAAACTAAAGGTATTAAAGATTAAGAAACGTAATCACAGTATAACACTTAAATCCTGTAACATACTAAAGCTGCATATTATTCATTGACTGTAAGAGACTCAGAATGAAAAGGGTTATTTCTAAATCTACTACTGAAGCAAGGCTTAGAGACAAATAGACCACTAACTAGCAGTCACGTGGCCAGCATACCCTTGCATGCAGTGACACACAAATGCAACCAGCCAGCAATCAAGACTGTATCTGATGCCATGGAAAACTGTTCCTATTTAGCCATACTTAATCGCTTTAGCCAAATGACCTCATCATACAGGGCTTCATTTATATGAAAAAGTTTCAGGCATCAATAATTCAAATGGGCTACTGTATTAGTCTGGGTACTTTGGAGAAACAAATCCACTGCGACTCATGTATAAGAGAGAGTTTTATGTAAAGAAAAGGTGCATCATGAAAACATCCCAACCCAATGCTGCCCAAGCCCACAAGTCCAACATTAACCCATTAACCCAACACCAGTCCACAAAGTCCTCCACCTCACAAAACAGAGGCAATGATGCCGACTGCAGGAGGAAAGCTGAGTCCGTGAACGTGTAAGCATCTCAGCACTGGCAGGGGTCTCCACACGGCTGCTCCAGCACGCAGGGCTGCATCGGGATAGATCCATGCGGCTTCTCCTTGGGGATGTCTTGTAGGAAGTCAATCTTGCAAACTGAAGCAGGGAACTGCTAAGGCAGCTGCACCCGATACAACCATCACAAAACAAGAGACCCGAGAACTAGAAAGGCGAGGCTTCACCACCCATTTATCCCTCCGCCTTTCAACCAGCACCACATGTGATTATCGGCCAGGCTGGCACAATTAACTAACTCAGCTACATTAAAAAATACATACGTTTTTCTTAAGACAAAAATGTATATTTAGCAACAAATCAAAATGTGGTAGAGTTTCCACACAAATAATTAATGAATCAGTACAACTACAGTATTAACTGCTTTAAAATTCCAATTATCAGTAATGAAAATGGTCCTTTACCTAACAACATTTTATATCCTTTTTCTTTGATTTTAAATAGTCTACCCCTGTCACAAACACATACATATCCCAATCAAAGTTTCATCCATTTTTAGGTATGTTAGAGCAAATGACTCTAACGATGATTTCCATAAGTCACAAACAAGTATCTTTCTAAAAAGGGTATATGTTCTTTGAGAATGATAAGGGCAATGAATGTACAAATGTGCTTTACACAATTGATGTATGTATGGATTGTGATAAGAGTTCTATGAGCCCCTAATAAAACGATTTTAAAAAAGGGTACATGTTCACGATATTTCAAGTGTAGACCATATTGTAATATGTAAGGCTCCAGAAAGGAAAGAATTAGGGGATTTCAAACAAGTCTTTTTTTAAAACAAGACAAGCCTCTTTCACACCAGCCTGCTAAAAAGGTTCAGCACGATTAATGACCTACCTAATGAGCCCCGGGTCTGTTGACTATTCGGTGGTATGTTTTCCTTAGCCATGGAGATTAATATTTTACTATTTTCAGAAAGCTTCTCTGATGACTTTCCCTGAAAAAGACATATTTCCAAATGCAGGAGAGGAAAAAACACACACAAAAGGAGTGATTCTTGTCACTTTAAAATTTCATTAAAATATCATTACAAACAAGTGAAGTGCAAAGTTTAAGAATTAACTGTAGATATTTAAACAATTCGATACATATTCTAATATATAACTCACTGACTCATCAACAAATACTCCGTGAGCTCCTATGATCTGTCAGACACTGTGGAAATAAATGATTGAGAATCTCTCCCTGGTGTCGGAGTTCATAAACTACTGGGGAGGCACAAAAGAAACATAACACATAGTTCAACGACATAGTATGTAGAGAATGTAGGCAAGGGCTACAGGAAAAAAATATAGCAGGAGAAGGAAGCCTTACAGAATGGGGAATAAGCCATAAGGATCGCTGCTTATGTTTTTACTATTAGAAATGATAGTAAAGCTGTGTTTAAAACTATGTAATAACTCTTTGCAAACATGGTAAGTTGGTCCTAAGTCATCAGAGTGACTGAAAGCATAGACGACTTCGGGCTTGTCCAAATCCTAAACCCACCACAGTGTGAGACTGGGCAGATCGTTAGGCCCTTCATGCCTCAGCTTTTCAGTCTACAAAAGAAATAAAATTCTGCCAACCTTACAGGGATATTATCATTACATAAGATAATATATGCAAAGTGCAAAGCAGTTATTTTTGAAGGGAGCATTGTGGTTTAAAGAAAAAGTGCTGGAATCAGGCTGGCAGAGATCAAACCCTAGTTTCACCACCTACTAATTCTATCACTTTAGTCTCATTACTTCTACATGCTTCAGTTTACTCATCTGGAAAATGACAAGAGGAGTACTTACTTTACTGCAAAATGTAAATGTAAATCTCTAAAATTATGTTTGGCCCATAGGCAAGGCTGATTAAATTTTAGCTTTGTAATTAGAACAACTATGTTATTTATCAACTCAACAAGACTACTTATGTCCAAGACAAATGCTAAACCAGGTGAACTGAACAGGAAAAATCCAGAACTACCTTGGGCAAAGTTATGATGTCCATATCACGCAGATGACGCTACATCCTATATTTTATTATACACACTGAGCCCAGGAGAGAAGCAGCCACATCTGTCTAGACAAGGGCTGCAGTCAGCACCCAGCACACGGCCTGCCACAGGCTCACTCATCATTTGCTAAATGGATGAATCACTCCCTCACCAAGACTAGACAAGCACTAAGAAAACTTTTTCCAGACATTACTTGGATAAACAATCATTTCAATAAACATCTGGAAAAACAAACATTACAAAATAAAAGAAACTAATTTTAAAAATTCACTTTGTACATTCTAAAAAATATTTTTAAGACATTCATTTAGTAAACAACTTTTTCACATAGAATATGAGAACTTGTTTTATGCTTGTTCTGGTGATATTGTAGAAGTTCTTTGTACTAGAAGTAGTCTCCTAATCATTTTACAAAGTACATGAATTATTAATTAAAACTCTAATAAGAAAGTTTTTCTAGAAGATATAGAAAAGCCCACAAAGGGAAAAACAGCATTCAGAATCACTGACCCTTGTCCAGTCAGGGTCTCTGAGTCAGAATGGTAAGGAAACACAAACTGAAGCATCAAACACATAAGGCTCTCACTCAAGGGCTGATGCATCATGTGTTTACGCAGAACTAACCTTTATTATTAACAAACAAGTTGGAAAAGCACTAGTACTTGTACCTTCATTTCCATGTAAGGTGGGTCACTTTCCAATTCTGCTTTGTCTTTAGCCAATTTAGCTTTTTGTTCTTCAATAAATTCATCCAAATTATTAGCCATTTCTCAAAAATCTAAAACCAAAAGTAAACAAAAAAGTTTCAATGAGCGTAGCTATATTACAGTATTTTAGTCTGATTATAAACATTCAGGGTTAATCTGCATCTAGTGCTCAAATTCACTTATCCAATTGGGACCTTCAAACTTAAGCTTTATCATAAAAATGCCTGCACATCTCCCCTCCCTAATCCTCCCCAAACACGTAGCACACACACACTTAAAGAATATTGAAAACAACAACTACCACCATCTCTCCCTACCCCGAAAGCTCACTACCACCAAGTCCCTTTCCACTTAGGTAGGGTTTCTGAGCACACAACCTCTTCTGTCTCCTGCAGGGCATCTGGAAGGTTTCTACCAGTAACCTCACAGCTAACAGTCCGACACTTACTTGATGGATTCCTTACACCCAACCTCCCGCCCCCCCCCCAAAAAAAATTTTAAAGCCTGAATTCAAAGCACTTTGACAAAAGCAAAAATAAGTCCACATGGAAGCAGCACACCATCATCAGTCACCAAAGGACTGTAAATCATATAATCCAAAGTCGAAGGAGCGAACAGTAGCAGAGCCTAAACTGTGAGAATCCCGTTTTCAGAAGAATATGGGTGTCAGTGGGAGCCCAAGATACAGTTATGGGAACTCCACAGGAAGTAAGCCTCAGGTGATCGCCCTCTGTCCATAATTGAGGATGGGAGGAAAGTGGTTATTGAACAGAGTGTATTGTAGAGATGAGTATAGAAGATCAAAGGGATAAACCTGACTTGAACGTCATTTGATCCCCGCTCTGATGCACGCTGCACCTGATCTGGTTTTCTGTATTGTTGTTGTTGTTGTTGGTTTGTTCATATTAGGGTTTATCTCAGAGGAGTTACATCATTGGGGGCCACCCTCTTGAAGTTGTGTTATATGTTTTTCTATTTTTCCGTTATATGAAACCCAGGATTGAAGAAACTATAGGGGCAGCAAGTAGAATAACGGTTTGGGGGATGGGAGGGTTGGAGAGGGGTGTAAAAGGGAGATGATGTCAAGGAGTCTACAAGGAAAAGAATGTTTTGGAAACTGATTGTGGTAGCAATTGATATACGTATTAACTCCCAATTAATAATAAGTCTTTTTTAAAAGAATGGCTCAAGGATAGGATTAGTTCAGAGCGTCCACCTGTACACAGTTCATAATTCACATATTACTAACACTGTGCCACATTTGTTCTATCATGGGTGCACACAAGTTCACCCGCTCTCGATCAGCGGTTCTCAACCTGTGGGTCGCAACCCCTTTGGGGGTCGAACGACACTTTCACAGGAGTCACCCAATTCATAACAGTAGCAAAATTACAGTTACCAAGTAGCAACAAAAATAATTTTATGGTTGGAGGGGGGGGTCACCACAACATGAGGAACTGTATTAAAGGTTCGTGGCAGTAGGAAGGTTGAGAACCACTGCTCTAGATGCACACGTGGGTGCACATACAATTTTTTCTAAAACTATTTAGAGGATGAACTATTTACATAAGGACTCTTACCCTTAAACACTTCAATATGTATTTCCTAAGAACTGAGTAATTCTCTTAGTATGATTGTCAGCTTTAGTAACCCTGATTTTTAAAATCCAAATATTCCAATTTCATCCCTTTATCCTACAACGACCTTTGTAGCATTGTTTCTCTCCCTTTTCAGTACAGGATCCAAGCTAGGTAATGCATTTCATGGTTACGTCGCTTTCTTCCTCCAGCAGATTGTAACTCTTATTCTACAGTCTTTATGAGAGTCGACTGCCGGCGTTTTTACCTCATGGAGCTAGCTAGTGGCTTCAAACTACACCTTTCTGTTATCAGGCGAGCACTGCATTATTGTGTCATCAACAGCAAACTGCCACCACACTGATTCCTACTCATAGGACAAAATAGAACAGTCCCACGGGGTTTTCCAGACAACCTTGGTAGTGTACTGAGTTACACACTCCGCTGCTAAAGGCAAGGTCTACAGTTTGAAACCACCGGCTAGCTGTTTCTGGGGAGGAAAGCTGGGACTTTCCACTCCCAAAAAAGAAACACACAGGGACAGTTCTACTCTGTCCTATGGGTCCCTATGAGTTGGAATCGACTGGATGGCAGTTTTGTTTTGGATCTTTGGGAAGGACCCCTGGTGATAGAGTGGCTACATGCTCAGCTTCAAACCAAAAAGGTGGTGGTTCATACACACCAGCCAGTCTAGGAGAGAGGATCATGGCAGTCTGTTTCTGTTAAGATTACAGCCTAGAAAATCTGATGGGAAAGTTCCACCCTGTCCTATAGGGTCACGAAGAGCCAGAATCAAACAAAACTGACAGCACCTGCCAACAGCAGCACTAACACCACCAATCTTTACAGAGGCTAATTGCCACATCTCTCTTGGAGTGGTGGGTTTGAACACCTAACCTTTTCCTTAGCAGGCAAGCACTTTAACCACTGAATCCTTTATGTCTCTTCAAACCCACTGTCATCAAGTAATTCTGACTCACAGCCTCCTATGGAACTGCTCCATAGCGTATGTGAGACTGAATCTTTACTAGAGCAGGCTGCCTCAAGGTTCACACTTTCAAGGCTTATGGCTTTGAACCACTGACCTCGGGTTGAGCTCACTGCCTGTGCTTGTTTGTTGCTGCTGCTGCTGTTAGGTGCCATCAAGTCAGTTCTAACCCACAGTGGCCCCGGTACAACAGAACACAATACTGCGCAGTCCTGCCTTCCTCACAATTGTTCCCAGGCTTGAGCCTATTGCTGCAGCCACTGTGCCATTCCATCGTCTGGAAGGTCTTCCTCTTTTTCTCTGCCCCTCTCCTTCACCAAGCTTCACTCTGGCATTCTGGCCATACTTCTTCCAAGACGGATGTGTTTGTACTTTTGGAAGCCCATGGCACTTCAAATATTCTTCTCCAGCACCACAATTCAAATGCATTGATTCTTCCTCAGTCTTCCTTATTCACTGTCCAACTTTCACATGAATATGAGGCAATGAAAATACCATGGCTTGGGTCAGGCACACCTTAGTTCTCAAAGTAACCTCCTTGCTTTTCTGCACTCTAAAGAGGCTTTGCAGCAGATTTACCCTACACAATGTCTTTGGCATCCTTTAATTCTAAAACACTTCCATAACGTCCCTTTGTCTCTTAGGACATGAATTCTTTAATACAACTCCCTCCTTCATAGAACATTCCTCATTTGGGATTTCTTCATGATTAAACTCAGGTTATGCAGTCTCAGAAATATGACTCAGGTGACTTCTGCTTCTCAGGGTATCACCAATAAATAGCACAATGTTCATTCACCCCTCATTAGTTATATCATTTTTTTAATTATTATTTTATGAAAATAAGTTTCTATTTTAATGCTGCTAATGGAACTTTTTGTGGCTTTTGAGCCACACGTTCCACGATTTAATTTTGCACTGGGTGCGTCCTGCAAATACATTGCTTGCCCTGTATTGTAACAAGACAAACAGCTAAGGTAGATGCTCCAAGAGCAAAAGTAGGCTATTGAACTCAGCCAAGCCAAAGACGGTCATCGTTGGACCCACAGTGAACTTACTATACAGAGACTCACCTCGGGACATTTCTTTGGAAGGTGTAAGGAACTCTGGCTAAGCACAGGTTGCTTCCCAAGAGGTTGTGGCTGAAACATACCAACTGGCTCCCTGGAAGGAAGACCAGTGACGTTGCTTTTTATTTCCCTGGTCAGGGTGGTATCGCATCCCTCCACTATTCTTCCCTTGTCTCGAATAAACAGCCTGTGGTTAGACACATTAGACCATACGAGTATCTTGCTCCGCATCAAACTGTCCTCCGACACTTAGCCTTGATTGGTGACTCTTTACTAGCCCAATCTTGTCTAGAATGATTGTATAATGTCTATTTTCCAATTCTGTCACTCCCCGCACATACCGTCTACTGTAAGCAAGAGCCTTCCCTTCTTCCTCCATTTAAAGGTCGTGCTTTTAAAAATCTCCTTTTTCTCAGTTGACTTGGAGTAGTTTTTGAATTCGTTAAGTTATTGGTTATTTTTATATTTAAAAATGTTCATATAAAGGATACCATAAAACATCCATTTTCAGTGGCAAAAGTTCATGAATTTTAGTAAATTCTTAAGAGTTGTGCAATTATCACCATGTCACATTTTGTAAAACTCTCCACCTCAAAAATTCCCTTTGCTCCCATTGGCAGTCTCTCACTTCAACTCAGGAAGCCAGCAATCTCCTTGCTGTCGCTATAGCTTTGCCTATTCTAGAAGCTTCATATACATGGAATCAACCATATCGTTTTTGTGTCGGTGTTCTTTCACTATGCATAATGTTCAGCCTTGTTGTCCCATCTATCAATAAGTACTTTATATGTTATTGCTAAATAGTATGCCATTGTCCGGTATTCACCTGTTGATGGACTTGTGGGCTGTCTTTATTTGGGGGCTATTTTGAATAATGATAAATATTCATATACAGGTTTTGTAAGCAAGTATTTTCAATTTTCTAAGATATATACTTAGAATTGGAAAAACTCAGTCATATGTGACCTTACATTGAACATTTTGAGAAACTGCTAAATTGTGATGATACCATTTTACTTTTTTTTTTAACCATTTTACATTCTAACCAGCAGTGTGGGGTTCCAATTCCCTCACATCCTCACCAATTTTGGGCATTGTCCATCATTTTTATTTTAGTCATTCAATTGGATGTGTAGTGATTTTTAATTTGCATTTCTCTAATGACTGATATATTTTCTTGTTCCTTTTCGTCCTTCACATAGCCATATATGAGTATACAACCATTATGGAAAAGTATCTCAAGTCTTCTGCCCATTTTAATATTAGATTGTTTTATTATTAAATTATAAGATGTCTCTATATTCTGGATATAAGCTCTTTACCAAACAAATATAATTAGTTGTAAAATTTTCTTAATGATGTGGGTCTTTAATTTTTAATTAAGTTGAATTCATCAATTTTTCCATTAATTTATCATTGTACTTTTTGTGTCATAA